ATTTGTGTATGTGCCTTTTGGAGAAAGTGTCATGCATTTTGTGCAACGATATATTTTCTCCGGGAGTCGTCACGCAGCCGTCATCCTCGAACGATTTAGTATAAACTTGAACGACACCATCAAGGTCGGATCGGGTGGTGGTGTAGAGGGGAGAAAATGGTAGGAAAGGTGACCGCTCACAACTTGTTCGAAGCCGATAGGGAGAATGCGCGGCAAAAAAGCTGAACCCTTCGAGGTTACAAGAACAGATGTTCGCGTTCATCGTCACGAACCAGGTGGTGAACAACTTTATGGAGATCGGGTTGCCTTACGTTCTGCGGGCTATTGAATCCTTCCGGAGTGGAAAGAGCTTTCGCAATGGCAAGATAAAGAAGAAGCGTGTTGCTTTTGACGACGAGTCTGTCGGACATGGACAAAACCAGGGCCAAGCTCAGGAGAAGCGTACCAAAGAAGAACGCGAGTTCCTTGAGATCGTGCGCAGCGAGGTGACACGCCCAGAATATAACGTTTTCGAAGACTATGGAGAGATGGTGACGCAGTTTGGCTATATTGCGTTGTGGTCGACGATCTGGCCATTAGCACCTCTCATGGCGTTGCTCAATAATTATATAGAGGCACGCTCTGATGCTTTCAAGATTGCGACCCACGCGAGGCGGCCGATTCCCGTCCGCACGGACACGATTCGGCCCTGGCTCGAGTCGTTGTCGTTCCTGACCTGGCTCTCTGCCCTTACGAACTCGGCACTCGCGTACCTTTTCCGCCCTCCTGATCACGAGCTCAGCACTCAGATGGACGTGAATGGGGACGTTGGCACACATCTCCACCATCACCATCATGGTCACGGACGCAATGGGTTGGCCGCGACGAAAGAGTTGCTTGGCCATGCGCTTCTCGTTGCGCTTCTCGCTTCGCATGGATACTTGCTGCTGCGCACCATAGTAAGACGCATACTGGAGCTTGCGATATGGCGAGGCAGCGAGGAGGCAAAGGAGGCGGAGAGAGTGAACAGAGAGATGAAGGAGAAGTACCTCAAGCAGTGTACGTCGCTCACCGGAGAGACCAAACCTGTTTCTGTGGAGGCTTCCGCCGGCGTCAGAGATGAATGGGAGGGGTTCTGGGCAGTCGATGAAGGAGTTGAGGAGATTCAGAAGCTTGTGAAGGACGCATAAGCTGGTTGCTTTGTGATCCTTACGTCTGTTGGTATATGTCCGATGCTACATTCGTTCTGACACGTTGATTTCCATGTATGCTTGCGCCCGGCGTTCGTGTTGTGCATGTCAAGTGTACCCTTACTACTGAGCATTTGTTTCCGTACTACCTAATACGACATGACCTTGTTCTTACATATGCCAGGTATTCGACAACGACTTCTCTCATAAAACAGCTGGCGCGGCTCATGGCTTGATGATATAGTCTACAAAGGCACACCTCTCCCAAGGGAGAACTTCGCCGAGATTCGTGACGCCTTGCACATAAAATCTGAGACACCTTTTCCCTTCTAACCCCTGAGGCAGGCACTGCGGTTCAACGTAAAATCGGTTGGCACGCCCGTCCAGTCCAGTAGTGCCGATGAACGTGGCGGGGAGCAAATCCGACGTATCAATCTCACTTGCGTAAGTGGTGACGTAGACGTTGAAGTACAGGAAAGATACGGATTGGGGTAGAGCGTCGTCTAAGACCCAGGCAGGGCGTGGGTCTTCAGGATGATTTTTGTATGGGTCAATCGGAGGCATTGGCGGGAGAGAGAGTGCCGTGTCCCAAGTCAAGACGCCGACCAAGTTAGCTAAGGAATCCGTAGCAGAGTCGGGAGCGAAACAGGCCCAGAAAACATGGGGAGAACCTACTGATATCGGTGGAGTTGGTGGAGAGGGGTATACTACGAGTTTGCCGAGCGATAATGCGAAGTTGCACGGCAAAGAAGGGTCTTTAGCTACGAAACCAACTACGAGACCAACAGCGATCGATATTGGACCCGATGTTGACGTCGAGGTGAATGTCAATTCCTGCTTGGACCATCCGTGCAGAAGATCGGTCAGAATAGCTTGCCCGACTTCCAATTTGGTTTCCCCTTCCTCCCCTAAGGAAAGAGGTTTGACCATGACAGCAAGATCAAGGTCGACGGTCTCGTCCGACCCGGGTTTGTATGCAATGCAGGTTTCGTATGACCTCCCAGCGCTAATCGTCAAAGACTGAACGGGTAACCAGATGCATCGGAAGAACGCATCCTCCGCATCACTGCCTCCACATGCGACTGAAACCTTCAAGGTATTACCGCCGTTCCATCCGTCCGTCATATCAAATGCGGTCAATGCGGTGGGCAAATCTTCGTTCCTCCCGTCGCCCTCCCATTGCAAAGTGGGTGTGGGCCATGCAAGATTACCAATAGAACACTGCTTGTCAATGTCCGTCCAGCCCTTCTCGGTCTGCAAGACATTCACGCCGTCGACGAACCAGGACCAACCAATTCCAGGGGAAAAACAGGTATAGAACGGAGACTTTGCTGGATCTGGGGATGGCGTATTTACGAAGAATGCGCTCAGAGGTTTGAATGCGCCCTCATTGTAGGGAGGGTTGTCAGAGCGCTTCGGAGGGTCGGGAACCGGTACAGTTTCGCCGGGGTTAGAAGGGCCGATCCAGAGTTTACGCTCGTAATCCCACCACTGTTCCCAATTCCAACCGGGCTTGTCCTGTTCGGATTCCCAGGTCCACGCCGGTCCAAAAAGTGCGACGCTAAGTCCGAGAGATTGCGGATCAATGTGGGTAATGGCTCTGTAGCTGTTAAATCCCCCGCCACCGTATTGACTACGGCCCCAGACATCAACTCCCGTCAAAACCGATTGAAGGGTTTTCACTCTCGTTTGGACATTTCGAGTTATGGGTGAATTGCCCAACAGGACTGGATCGATGGACAAAAAGTAACCTGCTCCAAGTGCCGGATAATTAGGAGGCCACTAGGCATATACTCTGTCAACTCGCTCGATCTTGGATGCAAACATTCCTTACAAAGTAGTTGGTGAAGAGTGCATCCGAAGCCAGGAAAAATGGCAAGTTGCGATGATTGAGTCTGTTTTGGTACCTCAACTCTCCGTTAATGATCACGCTATCATACCTTGCATTGCAATCAATGCGTGGGATGATCGAATCTAAGACCAGGGTACCTACCACACCACATCTGCGTGGGTTCCGACTTTGGAGCGAAGCTCTGCTCTCAATAGGGTGATCCATGCTGTCAAAGCGCGAGCTTGTTCGGCACCGCCAGGGAGACTAGACTCGAAGTTGAGCAGATACCCGTCGAAACCGCGTTGAAAGGCTAGCTCGGCTAGGCAAGATGCATAGTGCGCAGACAGGCGGATGCTTCCGCTCGCTGCGTCTGAGCCGGTGGAGAGGCTGGGAACGTTTCCTAGCAAAAGTTTGAGGCCGTCTGTATCTGATTCTGAGTGTTCTAATATCCTGATGTCGAGTTGAACGGAGGCGGCCATAGAGTAATATTGACAGGCTTGCTCACAGAACGCCCAGCATTTTCACGCCTTGCTTATGAGCAGCGTTAATCCACCCCGAAGGGGGAACGGTAATGCGATGATGTGAAAAGCTTCCACGACCAGTGCATATCAACTGGCCAGACGGAGGATATGGCAAGGGGGTGGTACGCACTAGACGAATGTATCACACAGGGACCAGAAATTGAAGGTATAGCATGTCCCCGACGGTGATTCGGTGTAGCCTCCCTGGATACCCGCATTTGATGAACCGAGTCACCATGCGTCAATTGCGAGCAAGTGACATAAACGATGCGACGAGTCACCAACTTTATAATCGTGGCATACCTGCAGGGAAGATGGGGGAAGATCTTAGCAACTGATGTAGTAACGTAGAAACACTGTCCCCTTACCAGTAACTTCCCTCTGTTATCTGATTGCCCTTTGACTGGGGGACGAGGCTGATACCGGAAGACGCCCGCCAACTTGGAGTGAGGCTGCGTGAACCAAGCATCGAGCTCTGCCAAAGAATCAAAGAAGGGTGCCTCGTCGCCGACCAGTTTCGAATGGCCTACGCCACGCAGGGGCATGTCGCACTGTGCTACTGCTACTAACTTACTACTGACTGACTAGGACTGATTGGAACCTGGAAGTGGCCCGTCGACGCTGACGAGGCGTGGGAAAGGGCAAGAAAGACGGCGTAAAATGTCGGCCTTTGATTTTGCAACGTTTTTCGTCGGTTGCACGAGTCCCGGACAGACTGGCCAGGACATGTCTGAACTACCAGTCGTTAGGAACGACAACGGAACACCCACAGAGCACACGTCTCAAGACACCAGCTACAGTGGCGACAAGACCCAGCCCACAGAAGACATATTGAATGCTTTGAATGCTCTCAACCCGAAGGCGATCTTGGAAGCGACTCAAAACGGGCACGAGCCCGCTCTTGCACAAGATGATAATGCTGGCCAAGATACCGATACCCCAATGGACCCACCGTCTGAGTGGCACGTGCTACGCGAGAAATTGCGTGAACATCCCCATGACCCGGAAGGCTGGAACCACCTCGTCGACATCGCTGAAAATAGTGGTGATCTTGAACAAGTCAAGCAGACCTACGAAGCCCTGTTCGAGACGTATCCCAACACGGTATGACATTCCGTTTGTTCCCAAGCCCTTAGTTTGACAGCGGAATGTCAAGTCGTCTGCCCAAATTGCCTATCTCAACCACTTCTTGAGTCCAGGACTGTTCCAGTACGCCGAGGAATTGTTCAAGCGCTTCTTGAGAACTTCACCATCAGTTGACCTCTGGAAGTTTTATATAACATACGTCAGGTCAGTCAGGCAAAACAGATCGCAGCCCCGCACCACGTTTTTGATCCAACGCCGAATCTACAGACGCGTAAATACGTCGCTTACCAGCCGTGAAGCCGTCAGTCGAGCTTATGAATTTGCACTCAATCGCATCGGACAAGACAAAGATAGTGGAGAGATTTGGTATGATTACATCCAATTCCTCAAAGCCGGCGAGGTATAAACTTATTTTTCCAACTCTGTCGATGTTAACTGATGTCGTCATTAGACGAATACTACTTGGGAAGAACAACAAAAGATGGATGCTTTGCGTAAGGTCTATCATAGGGCAGTTCAGATTCCCCTCGAGAATGTGGAGAAGTTGTGGTCTGAGCTTGAGGCTTTCGAGAACGGGCTGAACAAGATTACGGTTTGTGTCCCTTTTGCGTTACCCTTTCGAGTGTTTAATTTTCTTCGCAGGCTAAAAAATTTATGTCTGATTTGTCTCCGTCTCATATGCAAGCCCGAACAGTACTTCGACAATTACAGAGACACCTCGGTCCGTTGTTCCCACCTCCACCTCCGTCTTCTTCGACCCGGCCATCAATTTATCTACCGCCTGCACCAACATTCAACGCAGCTGAAAGAGCACTTGTGGGAGCATGGAAAACTTACCTCAAGTGGGAAGAGAACAACCCGCTCGAATTTGAAGATAAAGATAAAGCCACGTTGGTATCGCGTGTCCAGCTTGTTTATCGCAAGGCAGTCATTCGCATGCGATTTTATAGCGAGATTTGGTGAGTCTTCTTGCTTCGGCCTTTGCCTGAATTAATTACCTTCTGCAAGGTACATGGCGTTTGTGTGGACAAACAGCATTGGTAAGCAAGAAGAAGCGCTAAACATCTTGAAGGCCGGCATCGAAGCAAATCCGACTAGTTTCCTCCTTAATTTTGCATATGCTGAGCTGCAAGAGGGGCGCAAGGAATACGCCGAAGTTAACGCTACTTTCGACAAACTTATCGACCGTCTGCATGTGCAACTCGAGGAACTTGAGGCCCGGGTGAATTCGGCATCTTCGTCATTCTCGTCTGATATCACTGGCCGTTCTGTGGTTACGAGTGTTCCTAGCTCAATAACTCCGGGACCGACAGAACCAGGCACTGTGTCGAACAACTCGTCTTTTGCCACCCAGAATGCTGATGAGAAACCTCCCAAGTCCAAAGAGTTGCAAGAACGCCGGTCTGAATACGGTCTTGTGTGGATTATGTACATTCGATACGCGCGCCGAGCTCACGATCTCAAGACTTTCCGAGCGGTATTTGCAAAAGCCAGGAAAGACCGATGGACACCCTGGGAGGTTTATGAAGCTGCAGGTGTGTGAGAAGGCAACGACAAAGTTCTCAAGTCAACTTGACGAATTTCCGACAGCACTAATGGAATACCATTGCAACAAAGACGGTGGTCTCGGAGTGGCGTGTCGTATCTTTGAAAAAGGTCTGGAAAGTTTCGGTGACGAGATTGAGTTTGTTTTGAGATATCTTGGTTTCTTGATATCGGTCAATGATGACAATAGTGAGCCTGGGTGTATTGATGTCCCTCCCTGTCAGCAACTTACGAGATTTTCATCAGACGCACGAGCGCTTTTCGAGCGTGTCATTACCGCGTTTAGCCCCGATCGGGCACGACCATTGTGGGAAAGGTGGGCACGTTACGAGTATCAGTTTGGTGATCTCGAGGCTGCGCAGAAACTTGAGAAACGTATTGCCGAAGTCTACCCAACTGGTGAGTACAGCTTTTTTTGCGAAGGCGAGCCTTTTTGTTGACATCCTTCGTCTGACAGACCCTCCTATCAAACGATTTGCTCAACGACACACGTACCTGGGTACCGATGCCATTGCAGCAAGGGATCTCGGGTTTGCCATGGCAGCCCGCCAGCCTGCGGCGGGAGGTAACGCTGCCACATCGGCGGCAGGGCTTGAGAGACGCACTGAGTCGCTTCAATCCATGGTGCCATTGTCGCATGTGCCTCAAGCGCAAACATCCAAGAGACACTCGACGCCGGACCTCAAGCGCAGAGAGGACTCAGTGAAGCCTGACTTTGGACCACCGTCCAAACGTCAGAGGCCCTTGACACCCCCGCGTGAGCGTGATCGAGACAGGTCGGCTGGGCCGCCCCACCGGAGACGCCTTGCAAGCCCAGCTGGATGGGAGAAGGAGCGAGACCGAGAACTTGGACACCTCAAGAGGGACCGAGACGAAGACAAGCCATCTCCGTTGCCTACAGTCTTGTCGTGGTTCGTTGGGCAGTTACCTAATCCGGCCGCTTTTGATGGTCAGTACTTGACGACGTGTGAACCGTCGCCTTTTTTGTGTTACAATGGGAAGAACGATGTCATTGATCGCGCGAACCATTGTTTCCCCTTTGCAGGTCCGATATTCAGGGTTGATGATTTGATGATGTTGTTCCGCAATGCTGTCATTCCGAGTGCTACGCGGAGGGCGACCCCGCCACCGCCACCTCCACCCCCTCGCGGAAGTATGTTACGTCCTTTGTTTCTCCAAGAGGGGATGTGAAGTTACTAATTGGTACCTACTTCTTGCAGCTGGCCGTCCTCCTCCAGACTATGGCCCGTATCAAGGACCCGGAGGTAGAGGTGGACGACGATATTAAATGTACTAGTGTCGTTGTGTCTCTCGAAGAACCTTTCTCTTTGAATTTTCCCATCACTTCCAAATACTAAGTTCTATTAGTTCTGCACTGTCATCAATACCGTAGCATATATCAACAAAAAAACCTCTTGCTTAAATTGAAACGATGATGCATATGACGATATGTGTAAATTCCTCACAGCCCTTCGGTACCACCAAGTACCACCCCCTGCACAAAAAGTGAGGGTTATCATTTCGAGATTTGGGGATACTAATACACAGATGCAGCGTTATAGCCACACTGTTTCCGAGCATGAAGTTCACTGTAAATATTGATTTTACATGCTGTGTCGGTGCTGCGCACACACGGTGCTGCTTCATGCCGTGGTCCTAGGGTCACCACTGTTGCTTCTGTTGTATGGCTCGTCTCAGTGAAATCTTCAGCAAGGTTATTGCTATTCGTATCAGGCGGGGAGACAAAGCCACTCGAGCGCCGCACGATAGCTCCGTCGCTGCAGGCTTGGGTGATGTCTCCCCACGAATGCTTGCTTCGAGCTCGTCCCAGACCTCGCCCGCTTCGAATCAGCAACTTTCGACGGTCATTCCCCCCTCCGAGGCTTCCCATGCACTATATGGTCGTAGTGTCTCCGATTCCATTCAGATAACTTTACCTGTGGTACAAGAAGCTGTGGGCGTAATCCCAATCGCTGGTCCGCCGCTGAAGGCTGCCATTAGCGGATTACTGGCTGTTCTTCAAGTTATAGATGTGATGTTGATCCATTTTCATGTATTGTTCTTGTTTCTAAACGTCATCGTAGAGATGTACCCAGAACAGCCTGGCCTTAGATGACCTCACTGACCGACTGCGCGATCTCAGCTGCCATGTGGCCAATGCCCCAACTGCTCGCACCGATTTTGAGGAATCCAGGCGGCAAGGGTTGATCAAGTAAGTCGCTCGACGAAGTACGCGGAGTATTCCGTAACGAAACGCTACCTCATGATCAGGATGCTAGGTGAGACCGCAACCAAGTTGAACAAGATGCGAAGCCGCATGCGTGGGTCCATACTTTTCACGCAAGAAATAGCTGGATGTTCCAGCAAAATCAATGAATATCTTTCCGAAATTACGGTGAATTTGCATCTTCATTGTGTCACTCCTGACTTATTCCTCGTCTTGTGCAGGTATTGTCCCAAATGCAACTTCAGACCGGCGTCACCACCCTCGGCCAAACTCAGCAGACACAATTCGAATCTATCATGCAAGTTCTGATGGCACTAGATGCGAGACACTTACCTACAACCATCGCCCCTGGTTATGTGATAATGGTCGATGCGACAGGACGGGAGCATAACATGCTGCTTGATCGGTGCAGTTCTTTTGATGTTAGTTGCTGGAACTCAGTTGTGGATTCACACACCTTACCATATTTTTAGCGACTGCTGGCCTTTCTGCCTGGCATACTGCACCAATGTCGGCCAGATGAAGCTGAGATCCAACAGTGGTATATTGACAAGGGACAGTATGATATTGTGATTGACGACGGCACTAACGTAACTCAACTGACAAGGGAGAGTGATGTTTGGTCAACTATTCAGCCAGGGACTAAAATTGTCATGAGGATTATTACCGTAGAAGCGGTCTGGAGCTTTTCTGCAAGATGTCGGTGCCGCTGTGGGAAATGGAATGATGTCGAGGTTGACGGCGCCACACTCATGGATGCATTGGTACATGGTTGCAGTATCACCTGGTAAACTGATTTCCTGCGAATATCAGGCAGGGCTCACAATGGACCGGTAGTCGCTACTGCTCGCGACGCTTTTAGATAACGGGCACCCGAGAAGAAGACGTTAGAAGCTGGCGGGGGAGGAGATCACAACTCAGCGATGATGCACGGATGGAAGTAGCAGAGAGCCTCATTCCCAATTTTGTGGTGAAGCAAGTGGTGTGTTGGACCCAATATATGCTTGTGTTTCAACACTACTGACGTTTTGGGCTTGCAAAGCTACAGCTGGTATAGTGTGACAGCTAATTTGCGCGCAGTTTGCTGACGACCGCATCACTGTTCCATGCCTTCAGAACGTGGGTGGCCGTGCATTTTAGGGCGTTTGCCGTTTGCTGACCCATAGTTGGTATGGCCCACGCACAGCGAGTGCGTGTTCTCACCTTTGGAGCATCTGGCCATTTGCTGATCTTTGGTGGCTATTCCTCATCCGCAGGTGGTGCGTTCTCACCTTTGGAGCGTCTGGGGGTGTGCTGACCCTTGCTTGCTATTCCCCATTCACAGCGAGTGCGTGTTCTCACCTTTGGAGGGTCTGGAGGTTTGCTGACCCTTGCCTGCTATTCCCCATCCACAGCGAGTGCGTGTTCTCACCTTTGGAGGGTCTGGAGGTTTGCTGACCCTTGCCTGCTATTCCCCATCCACAGCAAGTGCGTGTTCTCACCTTTGGAGGGTCTGGAGGTTTGCTGACCCTTGCCTGCTATTCCCCATCCACAGCGAGTGCGTGTTCTCACCTTTGGAGCGTCTGGGGGTTTGCTAACCATTGCCTGCTATTCCCCATCCACAGGAAGTGCGTGTTTCTACCTTTGGAGCGTCTGGGAGTTTGCTGACCCTTGCCTGCTATTCCCCATCCACAGGAAGTGCATGTTGTCACCTTTGGAGCGTCTGGGCATTGTTTGACCCTGCCTGCTATTCCCCATCCACAGTTAGTGCGTGTGCTCACCTTTGGGGTGTCTGGGGGTTTGCTGACCCTACTAATATTCTACTTTCTGGACTCCACCCTCACCTCCACATGAAACCTGCCTTATATGGAAGATTTCCTGCATGAAACCTGCACAGCCACTGAATGAAACCTCTCAGTCACTGAATGAAACCTACACAGCCACTGAATGAAACCTACACAGCCACTGCATGCAACCTCTTAGTGAATGAAACCTCATAGCCACTGAATGAAACCTGCACAGCCACTGAATGAAACCTCACAGCCACTGAATGAAACCTACACAGCCACTGAATGAAACCTACACAGCCACTGCATGCAACCTCTCAGTGAGTGAATGAAACCTCACAGCCACTGAATGACACTGACACAGCCACTGCATGCAACCTCTCAGTGAGTGAATGCAACCAACACAGCCACTGCATGCAACCACCATACAAGGAAATAAATACACAGCCACCAGAAAGTTGGTGAAGGGAAGCAGCACAGCCACTAAGGATCAAAAAAATAGGCAACTGGTTGCCTATCTGGACCCAAGATGACTAGCAAGTAATTAGCAAAAAAAGCAGAGTTAGCAATGACCACTGACTACCAATGACCAACTACCAAATAGCAAAAACAAATAGGCAACTGGTTGCTTATTTGGATGAAAGATGACTAGTGAGTTGACTAGTGAAAAAGTGGACTATCAAAGGATGTAGTAGTGACCATGCACCTACTGACTACTGACTGACTTGAATATGACTAGCAAAAAATAAGCAACCAGTTGGTTATCTGGACCAGCCAGACAGACACCACTACTGAATGACTAGTGAGTGCAGACTACTAAGTACAGATGGCTACACCACTGAGCACTGGAAAGCAACTACTGACTACAAGGGACCAAGGGTTGACTGATGAATAGGAGTGAGGAAAATAGGGGATGGGTTGGTTATCTGAACTAGTGACTACTAACTGGCAACCAAGGATGACAAATGACAGAAAGTCAATGGATGAGACAACCAGGACAAAAAAAAGCAAGTGAATGGACATGAGAATGGCAGTAAATAACTGGCAAGTCAACTGGTGATGACTGACTACCAAGTGGTGACTGGTAAGTGAGATGGAAAGACTACTGATGGCAAGGGATGAAGGGTGAACTGGCAAGTATGAGGATAGAAAACAAGCAAGGGGTTGGTTATCTGGACTGGTGGAAGAGATGATATGGATGAGTGACAAGTGACTACTACTGACTATGAAGACCAAGTGGCTGGGGACTGATGACTGATGACTGAAATGCAACTACTGACTACTGACTGGTGACTAGTGATGACAGAATACAGACTGGATGAGGAGAAAATAAGGGAGGGGTTGGTTATTTGGACTACTGACTACTGAGACATGAGACATGACAAGCAACTAGTGACTACAGACTAGGGAAAGTAATGGTGAATCAACTGGGATGATGACTGGGAAATAACCAGCGAGTCAACTGGCATGAGAACCCCCACAAGAACCCATGCAAGAACCCCAGTAATTGACCCCAATATAACCCCTGGACCCCCCCCCTGAGTGAGAGTGGTGTTGGTAGTAGTGTTGGTAGTGAAAGTGTAGTGTTGGATGTTTTTAATAGTGGTAGTAGTGGTGGTAGTGGTAGTAGTAGTAGTGAGGGTAGAGTAGTTGGTAATAGGAATAATAGTGTAGTGTGGGATGTTAATGGTAGTAGTAGTGGTAATAGGAATAGGGTAGAGTGGGAGGATTTGAGTGGTAATGTTGGGGGTAGTAAGAGTAATTGTAGTAGTAGTAGTAGTGTTGTAGGTAGATTTTGGAGGGTAGTTGGTAATAGGATTAGTGGTAGTAATGGTAATAAGGGTGTAGTGTAGGGGGAAATATGTAGTGTTGTTGGTAGTGTTGGTAGTAGGAATAGGGTAGTGTAGGGGGAAATGGGAGGTATTGTAAGTAGGGTAAGTAGGGTAGTGTGAGATAGTAGTAGTAGTGTAGGTTGTGTAGTTGGTAGGAATAATAAGATAGTGTAGGATGAAAAGAGTAGTAGTAGTAGTGTAAGTGTTGTAGGGTGGGAAGAAATTTTAGGTAGAATTTGTAGGGTAGTTGGTAATAGGAGTGTAGAGTAGATGGAAAATTGTAGAGTTGGTAGTAGGATTAGGAATAGGGTAGTGTGTGAAATGATGTGTAGTGTAAGTAATAGGAATAGGAATAGGGAAGAAATTTTGTAGTGGTAGTAGGAATAGGATTAGGAATAGGATTGGTAGTAGTAGTGTAAGTAGGGTAGTGTAGGAAGAAATTTGTAGTAGAGTAGGTAATAGGAATAGGATTAGGAGTGATAGTGTAGTAAGGGTGGTTGGTAGAGTTGGTAGTAGGAGTAGGATAGGTAGTAGGATTAGGTTAGGTTATGAGTGCTTGTAGGGTCGACTTTTGGCCAACCCTACACCTAACCCCACACACTTCCTATTCAGGCACTGGGGTTCTGCATATGGCAATGATGCCCCTATTGCATGGTAAGGTGGGTGGGCAATCATGTGATGGCACCTTAGGCTGTCCAGGACAGCCACCTGCCTCACAGGCCCATGATCATGTGACTCCACCATTGGCCATGCAGCATGGCCATCTTGGATGGCCATCCCACACCATGGGTATGCAGGTCACATGACCCCACCCTTGACTGTGCAGTGTGGCTGTCTTGGATGGCCATCCTGCACTGTGGGTGTGCAGGTCACATGACCAAAGCACACCCATGCTGCATGGCCATCCAAGATGGCCACCCTGTACCATGGGCACCTGGGTCATGTGACTGAAGTGTCTGTATGTGGATGGCCACCTGGGGCACAGGCAGGATGGTCATATGACCTGGCAGCCAACTTGATGCCTGCATGCAAGCAACACTCACATCCTCTGGTAAATACTGTTCCTATACTGCACATGTTTATCATACTCCTACTGCCCATGAGTTAATGATGTACCTGTACACAAGGATAAACTATATTCCATCTACTTTTCAGAACCTGGTCCAGGGTCTGGGGGGAAAAAAAAATCAGAGGCTTCCAGGGACCCCCTGGGAACTGGGCAAAGGAGGTCATGTGATAACTCTAGAGAGACCACATTTTTGACTACCCAACTAGTGTAGTGTAGTGTCTGCTTTTTTGACTACCCAAAGTAGCATGGTGTAGTTTCTGCTTTTTTGACTACCCAACAAGCATAGTGAAAATTCTCCCAAGTCCACCAAATACCCAGAAATGCACAATTGTGGCTTTCATGCAACAGTACAAAGCCAACCACACAACCATTACCACAAGTTGGTAGTAGTATGGAATAGTCTCAGAGTGCACTTTTTTGATTACCAAGGATGCATAGTTGATTAGGGTTGTTGGGCTAATGGGTTAGTTAACTACTACCAATTTGATTACCACATGTTAGTAGTAGTATGGGATGGCCCTATATTGCACTTTTTGTAGTGTGTAGTGATTGCTGAAAAACTGGAGTAGTAGTAGTCTAGTTTGTAGTAGTGCTGGAATTCAAATATAGCAAATAGTTTACTTTTTTCCCCAGAGGCTTGGAACTTTCCAGGGACCCCTGGGAAAGGAGTCACCTGATGTTGTCAGACCAGTCATCATGTGATCAGTGACTTGAAGCTGCCACAGACTCCAGAGAGACCACATTTTTGACTACCAACTACTTGTAGTGTAGCATCTGCTTTTTTGACTACCCCAAAGCAGTGTAGTGTAGCCACTGCATTTTTTGACTACCTAACAAGTGTAGCATAGCACAGCCTATAAGTGGAAGTAGTCATAGTAGTCCTAGTAGAGTATCAACTTGTGTAGTGGTGGTGGAATTTGAATATAGTGAAAAGTTTACTTCTTTGGTTTTTGGGTGAACATGTTACTTAGGACATGCTGTATGTGAGATTAGCCTGGATTTGGTAGTGCCCTTGATCATCAGCTGTGCAATAGGGGCTGGACAGGGCTGGACAGCAGCATCTGGGTCTGCTGGTGTGTCATGACAAAAAGCTGTAGTGCCTGATCAGGTGATCATGAGGCTCTGCTTACCTAACCTTACCTTGACTCCAGACCCCCAGACTTGGCCACTGTCTCCCAGCCTTAACTCCAGTCAACCAGACTTAGCCCCCATCACCCTAGACTTGAACCCTGGTCTGAGTCTTTTCAACACATCATCCAACAAGAACTGAAAGTTATACCCCTTGGTTATGGGACCATGGTCACAGATATCCATATATAGAATATTAGAATATTAAGATACCTAGCAGGAACTAAGGGCCATGGGATCACCTACAAGGTGAACCCAGCTCACCCTGAGCATCATAAACTAATTATGTATTCAGATGCCAACTTTGCTAGCAATGATGATCAGGTATTGATCTCAGGCTATGTATCCATCTTCAATCAAGGTGTGATCATGTGGTATTCTAAGAAGCAGAGCTGACCCCATGTAGTCCATTTAGTCACAACATATAGGTAGCCTGCATGCCAAAATGCCAACACTTATATAGACCCTGAGATGGGCCCATCTAAATAGATTTGGCAGGTGCTCTGCGAGGGAGATGCTGAATAGACTGATGAGCCTCAATGGGACATGCTCCTGGCACAAGTCAGTGATGAGTTATGCAGGAGTGGAGGAATGACTAAGCATATGTGCTGACTAAGCACAGATGATACTTCAGATAAAGAATGGTGGTAGATAGACCCTTCTGAATGAGCCTCAACTACCAAGGATATCAATGATGACAGATAGACCCCTTTGTGGAGCCTCAACTGTTGACAATGAGTTATGCTGAGCTGAACTGAACTGCTGAGTGAATTCTGACTGACTTCTGGATTGCTTCTTTTTTTGTAGCTAAGTACATGGGGGTTTATATACTGTGGGGGGAGCACAGCTTATGACAAACAAGGCACAAATACTTGGTAAGTAATGAGTAAGGACTGAGTAATCATGATGAGTAAGTGAGAAATGAAAAGTAAGCAAGAAAAGAAGATTGGTAAGTATTGGCAATAAATGAGTCAAAGACAGTCAAAATATCACAGAATGAGTCAAATAGAGTCAGAAACTGAGTAAGTGCACTGATATCACATTAGGGGGTGGTAATGCAAGTCAGATCTCAGTGGAGACACCATTAGATCCAAAGATGGCATGACAGATGGATGGTGTTTCCAAATATGGAAGTATTAATTCCAGAATTGAAGGGCATGAGTTAGGTGTCAAAGGGGCTAGGGCATTGGGGGTCTGTGGGGTAATGGGAGCATATGCAATTGTGTCTCCCACCCTTTCATCCTCTTAGTGAAGTTAACAATAGCTTCATGAATGGGGCTCTGATGGAGGAGGAGAAGAGGGGATGTCTTCTGCTGGATCTTGCAATAAGAAGGCAAGATACATGTCATACTCATCATGGATGTGATCAGGGAGGCTGGAGAACAGTAGATTATGCTGAAGCTGTCACAATGTGGGGAGAATGATGGATGAGATTGGAATAAAGATGGTGCAGGGAGCAGGGAGGAATGATCCATATGCTTCATCAAGAGGGCAGACCAAAACAACCACATAAGACCTTTCTAACTGAGTGACAGACCTGAGGTGACCAAAGAATGTCCTTCTGGAAGTCATATGGACAAGGAGAACACACTGACCAAGCTGCATGGGATGAGACAGGGCTGACAACAATGGAATGAACCAGGGGGCTTCGGGATGGAAGCTGGTGGGAACACCTGGCAGATATATGTAGCCACTGTCTCTGGCAAATGAGACAAGCAAGATGAATGACAAAGAGGCAGCTATTTCTGAAGGACTTTGTGAAATGAGCATCTGAAGGATGGAGTGCTGTAGAAGTGTGTAGGGTGCAAGGATCCTCTCCAAATTTTGAAGGCAGGATGGTGTGGCTGAGCACTTTAAGTGAGTGTGAGAACAGAGTTGATATCTTTGGAAACAGTGTAGATATGACAAAAACTGGAATGCCATACATGGGCGCTAAAAACTTTTAATGTGTGCTTAACTCACTTCCTCTTTTCTCTCTAGCACTGACAACTCATTCTTGTGTGAAGGATGACTGCTCATGTCCAGCAGTCTTTCTACACATGAGGGCTTTAGTCTTCATCTGCATGCATGGGCATTGTGTGCAACTCATCAACAAGTTAGTCAGAGTCAGCTGTAACCATGTCCACAACACCTTTGGTGTGTGACACCACTATACAACTCCAACCTCATCCACCCCAAGCATGAACACTATGCAAGGCACCTCTAAAACCCCCCATGGATGGCAAATGGAACTAATGGACTGTGTTGCATCATACATGAAAGCCAGATTTCAAGAGGAGGTATTTGGCAGACCTCACACCCTTCCAGATGTATTGATTCTATTTCTGGTGTTATGTGAAGCAGATTGCATATTGTTAGTAATCTCACAGGCCTATCATTGCCCAAGTAAGTCCATCATAATGGTGTGATGGAAGTTTTCATCTTTCTGCAGTCAACATTGGGAAAAATTGGGGTGGAAAAACCTGCAATGCAGAAGCTGCTGAGAGATACACAGAAGTGACTGAGCCATCCATTCTGGTGACCAACTCAAATACCATCCATGTATGGTATTTTCCAGATGCTCTCAGCCCAAAAAGAAGGGTAAGGAAATGCAGAATCTCATATTCTACTGACTTAATCGAATGGCAGGCTGACATATGGAACTGCCTTCATCTTCTGAAGGAACCACTGCAGGAGAGCATAAAGGCTTCCCCACAGGCATGGTGGACTGACAAGTCATATTTCTGCAATAATGCTGAGTTGAAAGGTGCCATCAACCTGTTGCCTGCATGGTTTCAACAGGGTCATGGGGTGGGTGATCATTTCCTGCCTTGGGAATAAAGCACTCATCTGTCTTGAAGCCCCAAAATGGCTTCCCAGAGGCCTCATGGCTGCTCAAATCCAGGACAGAAAAGAGTTCTACAAGGGAATGGGTCAACCAAATGTCTGACACCAATGCCCTGTTATCTGCAATCCTGCATGTCATCCATCCATGAATGTATGCAGATGGCAGGGAAGCATTGATCTGCCTTGGCAAACAGGCAGAACAGTGGGTGGATTCAGATATGAGCTTTATACTGCCAATATGGAGCTCCACACATAGCAGCATGTCCATGATGGTGAATTGGGCAACTTGTTATCACAGGGATATCAATGGATGGGATCCATGGTATGACATGCTGGTAACTGTGGGCAACTACCTGCCCTTGGACCTTGTCATTCTAATGTTGAATCTGCAGCTGTGCTACAACCCAGGGATGATCATTGCATTTTCAGGTTCAGCATTGGAGCATGGGGTGGGAGCTGTAGACAGTGACAGAGCATGCCTGGCATACTACATGCATGCCAATGTACATCAGTCAGTGCACATTCCCATGTGTCAATCACTGCAGATGGATGACCTACTACCTAGACCAGTTGCAACTGGAGAACTGTTGGTTTGACACTGCAAAATTTAATGTAAGATGAAGTAGGCAATGTGGATCTTGTATTTTATTAGGATATGCTGGCTCTTGAACTTTAGATGGGCAGCATTTCCAAGATTTTGCAGATGGGCAGGTGCTTAGACACCATAGATTGGGTGGGTACTCAGAGCTAAAGGGTGTGCATCATAAACTGCAACAAAAGTAAAACTACTCATGCCATCATGCAGATGGGCAGGTTGTCAGACATCATGCAAATGGGGAGGATCTCATAAATTAACAACATTTGCTGCAATGTATATACAACCAACTCCACAGTGAAAAACATGTAAACTATTGAAGTGGCATGCCCAACAACCCATGCAATGCCCACCACCTAGCATAGAAATGGTCAATTTGTTGACCCCAACTGTTGACAACATCAGCATATTTTTGATGCAGTAGTTGACCTGCTCCTTGATATAGCCATTGCAATGGCTGTGATTGGTGCCTCAGGCAATGGCCATAAGCCCTGGGCCATTATCAACTATTTGCAATGATGAGAATAAGCAACATACCTTAAAAAATCCCAGGCCATGGAAAACAACCCCTCGCCTTGCAATCTTTGGGAATCCACTGTGTATTCCTCAGAATGATATAACCACCAAGGGAATGCAAAGCCAGAATTGGGATCAGCTGCATGTGGGGTCCAATACAGGACAAAGGTGCTGATATTGTTGATGATGCAAAATGTGCTAAGGGGAATTGGCTGCATTTGATCATGGAAGCTAACCTCATCATGTTGGTGTCTGAGGTGTGCATGGTAGCATGCTGGGAGGGGAGGAGTATAACTGGCATGTGACACCATCACCAGAATCAAGCTATTAAGCTGATTCTGAAGGAATATGTATCAGTCCCACATTGTGAAAAATCAATGTAAAACCTACCAAGTCCATTACTAGGTTTGCAAACCAATGTGCAGGCCATCCCATGATATCAGCAGTCTTGTAAATTTTCAAGTAAAACTTCCTAGACAACAAACAAAGGGAAGACAGAGGACATACAAATGGGTAACATAGAGCATCCCAAAAAGGGAACAGTCCAGGTGCTGGACCATGCAGTGCATGTGCTGTGGAGTACCTGACTGCATGCTGTCAGGGAGAAGTCTGAAAGGAAGTCACATGACCCCTCAGAGAATGGCCTGTGTGGTCCAGTGGGAGACCAGTACAAGTCCAACAGCAGTCAGAGCAGAGATGGTATTGGCAGAGGAACAGAAAGGGGAAAAAGGGGGTGAGAGCTAGATGAGCACTTGCCTATATAGTTTGGATAGAGCTTGAGTAATAAATGGTTGTTCTTGTAGGAGATTGATGAACAGTCAAGCTGATACGAGTAATGAATGTGAATTCACTGAACTGAGGGGACTCAGCAGAAATCCCTGGGTTTATATACATGCAGGAATGTGCACAGACCATGAGTGCATATGGTAAGTAAACCAAGTACCTACTATGTATGGTAAAGAATGGAATGGAATGTCATAGAATAAAGTGGAGCTAAGTGGAGTAACTTAGCAAGCATGACATCATATGAGTAAAACTCATCTAATAAGCAGGTCTAGAACTGGTAATGAGAAACACTGTTAACCAGTATTTCCAACAGATGGTTCATAAATGACAGAGGGCAGGTGGAGTTGGTGCAGAGTGAGTGAGGACTTAGGATGAATGCACAGTCATGACAGTTTGATTGTGACTTCTACCAATTGCAATCTATATCTACCTCCAGTTCTCTGAGTCTTGACTTCCAGCTGCTTCACCCAATGGCCTGGGGTAGGACAATCATTCTCATGCCCTTTTGAGTGATTCCCTTGGCCATCTGGAGGTTTCTGATTTCACAGTATGAGGTCAGTTGTTAGAAATGCTACTGCTAGTGCAAGTCACTTTATCATTTAGCTCTATTGACATTGGTACTTTAATACATGTCAGGTCATAAATTCAAATGCAACTACACTGGCCTTGCACAATGCAAGGTGCTGCCTTCTTATTACTGCTCAATCCCTGCCTACACATTCCCTTCCTGCTGCAACATTACCTGGCTGCTTTGCCTGGATTATGATGGTGAATTTGGATGCTATCTTAGCTGACACAGGTGAAACAAGATGTTTGGTATCAATATAAGTATGGATATGATTGGGCCAGCCAACTGACAGCCCAGATGCAGACCAGGAGCTAATCCACCTTTGGGCAGGATCCTGTCAAAGAGATCAGCTGTATTGGATATTTTGGTTGCTTCATGGAGGTCTGAATGAATTCCTTGGCCTGACCACACTAGTGCTGAAATGCATTGAGACCAAACAAGGGCACAAAAAAATTTAGTAGCCAACCATCTATTATGCATCATTATACATCATACCACATCACACTCCATGGAGTCACAGTACAAATCAGATGCCTGGGATCAGATGGAAAAAGATGATGCTGATGGTGAGTGAGATATAGAACCATCAGATGCAGGGGAAAGGGAAGAAGAAACATTTGAAGTGGAAGAGTTGGAGATCCTTGGGCACCAATGCCAGGAATGGAGGCAAGCAGGGAAGAAGAAGAAGCCTGCAGTTCTGCTATCCATATGGGAGGAGATGCAGTGATTGGACAGGAACAAGGAGTTGAGAGGGAGTGAAGTCCAGACCAAGTGCAAGGTATGCTCTAAAAGTTCTGATTCAGATGCTCAAAATTCAAAGCACCCTTGTAGCTAATACAAGATTGGTTGAAAAAGCCCCTCTGTTCAAAGAAGCCCCACATTACCCTTAGATCCAGTTAAAAATACTCTGTGCAGGCAGTGGTCCATGAATTGTACCAAGTGCAAATACAGGAGAAGCTTGCAAAAATGAAAGTAGAAGAAGGTGATACCCATGGAAGCAAGCAGATCTAACTGTATCAGAATGCATTGATGGCTTTTATTCAGGATGACCTGGCTGAGGAACAATTGGCTGCAGCTGAAGATATAGTGGAAAGGTGGAATGGGCAGGAAGGCCCTGTGCCAGAGACAAAAGCAAGGTGTGATTGTATGAGGTCAAGTTCCCAATCTTCAATTTATCCTGGTTCCCAGGAATGCGGCCTAGTATGGGTACAAGTATGTCTGAAACTTTGTGATGGAGATGTGGAGGTATTGCAGAATGTGCATAGTGTGTATAGCTGGGTAGAAAAATGAGGAGGGAACTATACAGGAATGCACATGAGACCACCATATTCTCCTCTAGGCCTAGGTAAGACTCATGCCATGACAGTATGGACTTCAATAACAAAATTGTGGATGGGATCCCCTTCAATGATGTCTGCACACTGGAAGGAAGCTAGCAAGAGTACCTTGGGGAAACATTTGAGGAACCAGGAACACTGCCTGAGCATGGTAGTGAGTCAAGTCCCAAATGTGCTATGAGGACAGGCAAGGTTGACTCCATGAAATTGGTGAAAAATGCCAATGGAGAGATTTGGATAGGAGAAATCATGGGCCTTAGCCAAGACCAACTACAAAAAATAGTTTGCAGATTTGTGACTTCTCACTACTGTGAGTAGCCAGAGTATTTAGTGTCCTCAATCTCTGACAAGTGCTATCAGGATTAGCATGTGGAAATCCCTCATCAGCAGTGCTGTTCAAGAATTTTGGTCATCATCAAGCAGAAATGATAGCCACTGTCACACACCAAAGGTGTTTGGTGAGGTGGACATGGATGTAGCTGATGAATGGAGGTGAAGACCATAGCCCTCATGTGAAGAAGGACAGCCAGCAATGTCGGCAGTCATCCCTCACACAAGAACAAGTTGTCAGTGCCAAAGAAAAAGGAGGAGGCAGGTTAAGCACCAATAAAATTCTTAAGCACCCGTGTACGGCATTCCGGTTTTCGACGTATCTCCACCAGTTCTGCAGACACCAAAACCATTCCCACACTCGCTTGTAGTGCTCAGCCACATGATCCTACCTTCCAAGATTGGAAAGGATTTGCGCACTCCACACGTTTCTACAGCACTCCCTCCAAAAGATGCTCATTTCGCTAATTCTTCTGATATGGCTGCCTCCACATCAGTCATTTTGCTTGTCCCCTTTGCTAGGGACCATGGCTACATATATCTACCAGGAGTTCCTACCAGCTTCCATCCTGAAGCATCCTGGTACATCCCACCCTCATCTGCCCCCTCTCAGCCCATCCAGCTTGGACAGTGTGTTCTTTTTGTCAGTATGACCTCCAGGAGGACGTTCTTTGGTCACCTCAGGTCTGTCATTCACTTGGAAAGGTCTTATGTGGTTGTTTCAGTCTCTCCAGTCCAGGAAGCATATGGATCCTTCCTCCCTGCTCCCTGCAATGTCTTCATACCAGTCTCGTCTGTCATTCTTCCAAAATTGCAACAGCTACAGTATAATTTACTGTTCTCCACTCTCCCTGATCGCATCCATGATGAGTATGATGCACATCTTGCCTCCTTGTTGCAAGATACAGCAGAAGACACTCCCCCTTCATCCTCTCTTCCAACAGAGCCTCATTCATGAAGTTTTTATTTGCTTCACTGAGAGGATGGTTTGGGGGGGAAAGTTGCGATCCCCTATGCTCCTGTCACCCCACAGACCCCCAAAGCTTGACCCCTGTTGACATCTGACTCACCCTGTCTGCTTTTGGATGTACTATATCGGCATCAGATCAGCGCTGCCTCTCTGTCATCCCACTTTGGCCTAGAAGTGATCTCTTCGAGATGTGACATGCATGGCCTCCCCCTAATGTGATTCCGGTGCACTTTCCCAGTTCCTGACATTGCTTGACTCATACTGTGACATTCTGACTGTCTTTGACTCACCTATTGCCAATACTTACCAATCTTTTGACTTTGCTTACTGATTCTTCGCTTTTTGGCTTACTTATCCTTACCAATGCTTACCAATGCTTTCCAAGACAATTACCCATCGCTTACATTCCTTACTCATCAGTTACCAATCACTTACCAAGTGTTTGCACCTTGTTTTCCATAGGCAACACCCCTGTACTGTATATAAGTCACTGTACTTAGGTAGCAAAAAAGAAGACATCAGAGAGCCCCTCTTGCTTGCAATTTATCATCTCTCAGTAAATCATTCATCAGCTTCAATAGTTGAGACTTTATTAAGGGTCTAGCTATCATCTACTTTGCTTATCATCATCTATCATCCATATACTTCGCTCCAAGCCCTCCCTGAGCTCAGTACAGCTTAGGACATCGAATTAAGTCTCCATCCATCCTTCTGTAGGCTGACAGCAGTCTACCCTATCGCTTTCTATCACATTCTTGCTCCCTCTTTGTCAGGAGCACCCCCAACCCTCAGCACTCATCTTTGAGTGTTGTAGCTCGCAAAAACCCTCCCAAGGAACAGGTTCTACCATCTAGGTACCGCATAGGCACACCACCACTCGCTTTCATTGTCTTTTGTGTTGGTTTTGGTTGGTTTTCACCACTGAACCTCACTTTGACTCACACCACCTGCCATCTTCCTGAAGGATTTACCTTCAACTGCAACCCAAGTCACACGTGGATGACAACAGCTACTCAGCTGCTGTCCTTTTGGCACAAGTGACAGGAATCCCATCCAAATGATGTTTTTGGATTTCAGAAATGGATCAATTGATCTGGCAAGCTGCAGCCACCAGTGGATAGAACTTTGGTACCCCATCAGGTTGTGAGGCAGTGGAAATACAAGAAGACACCTGCCCCCAAATGCAAAATGAACCCTGGAAGGAAAAATGTCAAGGGCAAGGGTAAAGCTCAGGAAGAGGGAGTGGCAGATGATAGCATGGATGATAGCATGGATGATAGCACAGATGACAGTGTGGATGACAGCATGGATGACAGCACAGATGACAGCACAGATGACAGTGCAGATGACAGTTCAGATGATCACAGTGAGGCTGAGGTGAGTGATGTTGGAACAGATGATCCCTCCCCTAAAAAGGTGCACCATGTGTAATATTCATGCATGA